ATTCGAAAGTGGTCAAAATGGATATTTGCGTTGTATGCTGCCTGAAACTTTTCGCGATTACAATACTTCCTTTTTTACTTCGTACAAGGAAGTAAAAAAGGCCATTACTTATGTTTCAACCCAATATATTAATATATATGTAATACAAAATTTAAATATATATATATATATATATATATATATATGTAATAAAATTTATGTTGTATAGTTCTGTATAATTATGAGTATTATATCTCTGTTTTTATTATTAGTATTATACTATAATAATACTAACATATATTTATATCACGTGGCTCTGCTGTATATTTATATTACGATATATTTGATTTTATATAACAGAATTAATTCTGTTGATGAGGCTTTGGCTTGTAATGCTTTTAGGGTGCAAAAAAATGAAAAATTTTTGTTTTTAAAGCTCTGAAGTACTGAAAGCATTTTTGACAAGAAGTCTTTGAACTGAAACTTGGGAGCTGAGCAATGCAAATTAATTAATTTTTAAAAGTGTTTTTCAAGTTATTCTTTTAGATTATAAAAATAAGAACCTAGCTAAATTACACAATACCTTGCAAGGAAGAACGTAAGTAGATTTGATTTCATATAAAATACCACAGAATGCTGGTGTTATTTAGCTATGATTCATTTATAAGATATATAGAAATCGAGCGTAATCTTCTACGGTTGTGCGTACAAACTGCGGTGAAAATGTTGGAGAAACAAGAGCGATAAATGCTGTAGTTTATTGGTTTAGGGTTAGTCATATCAAAGCGGAACGTGATAAAATATTTCATGATCTTGAGTCAGCACAGTGTATGCATTTACACTGGGTGGGGGAGTAATTGGGCTTATTCCTGAATCTAATCATTTACGTTATGTGTAGTGGACTGGCAAATAAAAGTATTATCACTTTACATGGTTAGAATAATATAATAAATTATTTCACATTATCCGACATTATCGAATTTCGTTTGCCTGTAACCTCAGAAGCTTTAGAAAAATGCGAAAACTGGAGAATAAAATATTAAGTGATTTAATTCAGATACAAAATTTCGACAAGTATTAAATATGCACACACTGCGTGCAAGATTTACGTAAGCACACTCTACCGATACCTGTTGAATCAGTTTTTACCAGCTCGCATTGGCTTGACAGTTACCGCTTTCTATTCGTAAAATCCCCTTTGACTATATTGATCCTTGTGTTACTTCTGCATCTGCCAGAAATGTCCTAATACAAATAAACTCCAGCTTCCATCTTACAGGGTTATTCCTACATCCCAGGAAAGTCATATATAGGATAACTCCCGGCGAGTATTGTGTACCCAAGTATATAATTTGAACCACATATTATGCAACATATTTGTTCTAGCAAAATCTGAATTAGCACTAATACGGGAAAAAGAAATACATCCTATAAAGTGCTGTTAAGACAGAAAGTTGCAACTGTAGCCAAAGTCTTCTGACTTCAAAATGACGTACAGGTACCCTCGTCTGGTGTCAATAATTAAATGTCAGCTATTTGTAAAAGACCGAAACTTGAATATATGTTTAACATTTTCAGATTTTTTGGTCCGGTATAAATAAATGATAGGAAGATCCTAAGATCTAATGGTGTTCAAACCTTTGTAATAACATGTTTATGTATTTCAAATGATTAATTTGTTACCTTGATTCTTCGCGGTACACAATATTTTTAGTTTTCCTTTTAGATTAACCAGTCTGAAGCAAGACACATACAAAATACCTGCTTTACGCACGAGTTGACTTAACCGCTATTTATGGTCAATCCAACTATCACAGCGGATCCTACAGCTTTTTAAAATTGAAACATCAACTGATTCACGTGATGCGTGCCAGAACTTAAGACATATAATAGGCATATCTTTTTTCCACTGAACTCTTATATGGCAATTAACAGAAGCTGGATGAACACCCATGGTCTGAAGTATGTATCTGCAATGAGACGCAGATGTTTTTGATAGTATAGCGCGAACTGAGACGTTTAAAAATGGGTTTTCAAGGGTAATTTCTATAGCATTTGGCTCTTGTTTCATCACTTTTTTTTCCCGAACGGCGGGAATTTTCCGAATTTTGTCTTTTTTCGAAATTGGCCCACTTCTAAGGCCGTAAGTCGTGGCCATTTTTTGTGGTGTCACATAATAAGCGGCCACCTTTACTTCTTGTGTAAGGACTGGCATTTACAACCATGCCTTCTAAAGGATTCGAACCCGGGCCCTTGGGTATCGTAGTCGGCTTCCCTAACCACTATACCATCTTGGCGGCTTCTTGTTTCACCATAAACCTAGTATCGTTGCATAATTTATCTTTCTATTATGATCAAGATAATGCAGAAGCATTATTATCATCCGGTGCTCAGAATCCATAAACGGTGATTATGGGCTAAAAGTATAAGGTATTTCTTCCGCATTCTTAGCATGGTCCGTAGTGTAGTGGTATGCCCGCTAGGGGCGGGTTCCAGAGGTCTGTGGTTCGATTCCCGGCGAGGACGTTGTTCATTTTTCATCTCTCCTGCTTCCAATTAAGCTCTACAGGGGCTCCCGAACTGAAAGATTAGTGGATGATGATTCCCTACACCCAAGATTTGGCGATTGGGTCCCCTAAAAACCCCAGTCGCCCTTTAAAAGGAGGAGTATATATAAGGTATTTCTCCCGCCTTCTTAGCATGCCTTCGTAGTGTAGTGGTCTTCAAGCTCGGTACGTATTCTAAAGGTCAGTGGTTCGATTCCCAGCGAGGCCGCTGCTCAATTTTTACATCTCCTGCTTCGAAAGAACCTAATAGCTATACAAAAGTATGCTTTAAAATATTGTAGGTCGTAACGATTCTTCGTCATCTGTATTAGTCTATCAACTTTTCTTTTGCTAAAAATTATCCAAAAGCTTTCTTCAACTAACGAATTAAGTTTCGAACATGCTTTCTCTAAAATGTAAATTCATTAACTTTAAAGTTAATGCACATCCTTCTTCTTTGAAAATGGTTTAAAAGATTTATTTTCCTCTTTTTTGTTCTATTTTGCTCAGTAAATGACTCAAAAATTATTGCTCTGTAATGTTATATATTTATTCTTATTTCCTTCATTATAGCAAAAAAATTCCAGTAAAATAGTAACATAATTTCCATTCATCAAGAAAGATTATGTCAGGTGCTCTCCGAGTATTTCTATAACTCTAATGTCTATATAATGTTATTCTAAAGTGAATTTTAGCAAATTTTAAATTCTGCTAATAGATTATGGAAAGTTAAAACTGCATCAAGCATTACAACTAAGTTAATAGAAGTGAACTTATCAGGTTCTGTGTTCCTCCTTACTTGCTTTGGGAACATTAAATGACCTGACTCGGAACAGGGAGCTTACTAAAGCTATGTTCAATAAATGTGGGAAGTAGACAATAGACACAAAAGGGTACGACGAAACCCTTTATTTTTTCTCTCTTTACAATGATTTCCGGACTTCGGAATACAGAGACCAACCACTTCTGGTCTGAACGTAAGAATATAAAAATATTAACTAAACTCTAACTAAACTAACTTTGGATTAATAAACAAGTGCCTACTTGAAGATTGGCCGTATATTAACAGAAAGCCGTATGTAGTACAGAGAACTGCTAACACTACAATACGTTTAAAATTATCAAGAGGATTAAACCTCTGGCCTTGAAGGCAACCAGCAACCGAGTAAAACTTCTATGGCAAGCGGCCTGCTTCTAATCACTCCTTCCTCTCTCTCGCTTGGAAAAAAGCCACAACTTAAGTACTTGGCGTTCGCCAGACAAATTTGCATAAATAAGTTAAAGCTTTTAATTCTGGCCGGAAGTAGAAAATAAGAAGTGATAGTAAAGATTTAAAATAAAATAAACGTTAGTAAAACTTAAGATCCTTACAAACTGACTATTAGAAAAGTACTGTTTATTCTTATATTTCAAAAATGTACTTTACGTAGTATTTACATTACTTCATTAAACTGTGCTTACTTATACAGTAGGGTAAATTTAAATTACTATAAATTGCCGAAGGATTGATACTTTGACGTAAAGATGCAAAGTTATTGCTGGCCTTGCTTTCCTTGGGCGGGGTTATTCTGGATAGTAAAGGGCGTGGGGCGTACGCCTGTTTACTCATGTAAGGTATCAGGTGTCCCCACTCTTTCTTACTCATCATCTGACTTTCAGTAAATCTGTTCCTGAAGAAGAAGAACCTATGTCAGTCGCCTTTAAAATTTAGAGAGATTTATATAAATTTAGGAAAGCTAGATGTTTTTTGTGTAATGCGAGATACGTATGTTCGTACATACAGACGCCACAAAAAATCCCAAGTGAATTCCTTTTAAATACATTTTTTTTTCCGTTTTAGAAAAAAAGAGTTCTTTATTCTATCCGTATATGCAGATATCACGCAAAAAACCGTCCGAATGCATTTGGAACCAGTCAAAATGGGTATTTCCTTTGAAATATGACACCCAAAATTTTCGCGATTACAATAATTTCTTTACTTCGTACAAGGAAGTAAAAATTAAAATTTACATTCTATGAATTATAGGTAATTAGCTATAATCTTTGTTTATAACATTTGCTTTCCTCTGGTTTTTGCCATTTATTCAGGTTTCGGAATTTTGCATAAATAATAATTAAACATATTAATCAGCAGTATTACTCTAAAAATTCTTTCCTCAATTTAGCAAATGTCATTTATTTGGAATTTCTTCAAATAAAACTATGTTAACAAAAAATTATTAATTCAAAATCTTTATAAAAAACTGGCATTAAACTCAAAACTCGCTCAATGAAACATAAATAGGATATTAAATTGCTAATACACAGAACGTGCTTAGAAAATATTGTATCAACTTCAAAAGTATATTTCATTTAATTAATTTATTGTTGATCAATGGCAACGATATTTTATGATTCAAATTTTACTCACATTTCCTTATATATATATTTAACCAATCAAAATAAATCCAACCGAAAGAACTATAATAACTTCCCTCAAAATATATCAAATATGTGTATCTTCTTCCCACAAAATCCTTAATAAGTTTCAAAATTAACAGTAATATTGAAAATGAATGACCTAAAAGTAAATGACAAAGTTTATGTTTTAGGCAAAAACACAACCGGTAAAGTAGCTTTTATAGGAAATACCCATTTCTCTGATGGCATATGGATTGGTGTTGCATTGGATGATCCTAAAGGAAGAAATAACGGTAGTTGCGAAGGAGTTAGTTATTTTAAATGCCCAAGAAACCATGGAATTTTCGTACGTTCGTGTCAGTTGGAAAGAGAGGATCCACGACGACAAAGCGCAGAAGATAACGAACCTTCAGAGAAGTCTGATCCGAAAGTTCCATATCCCAATTACCTTAGAAATGCCTTAAGGTACAGGCAAATTAAGAGACCCAGATGGTTTTCGGAAAAGAATTCGATCCCAGAAAAGTTGCCAGAAAGAGAAAATTCATCCAAAATGGAATCAAAAACCAGTGAAAAAGTTAATGCCCCAAAACAAAAGAAAGAAAGTAAAGTTAATGAAAATATAATTTTTCTGCAAAACAAACTTAAAATTGCTGAAGATATGTTAGCTATGAGTCTGAAAAGCCAAGACGAACTTGTAAAAACTGTAAATATTGTGGAAAAGAAATTAGAGAATACCCAAAAGCGAATACTTATGCTCAAAAAACAACTAAAGAAGGCGAAAATGGAGTTAGCTGAACCAGGGAGGATTAAGCACAAAATTAAATTGAGATTCCAACAATTAATGGAATTAGCTGAAATAGCTATCATAGAAAAAGAAATCGCAGAAGAGAAATGTGAATTACTTGAAACGAGACTCAAAACTGCGAAAGAATCTTGCGAGGAATTAAAACTCGAATTGGATATTTGCAAGGAAGAAATGCAGCTGCAATGTTTTAACCAAGTACCAGCTGTGCATTATTTGAAGAGAATAGAAAATGAAAACAAAGTGTTGAAAGGTGCCTTATTAAAACTCAAGGAATTATATTTATACAAGCAACAAAAATTATTCGATGCTGAATTTGCTGTGAAAGCTAGTTCGAAAAAAATTACGATTTTGGAAAGAGATAAAAAAAATCTTAAAGAAGATATTTCTACTTATAAAATGCAAATAACAGAATTATGTGAAACAATTGATTGCTTGTCTAATGCAGAATATCTAATCTTTCAAATAACTCAGAAAAATATAAATGCAGAGCGGAAAATTGAACAGCTCTATACAGAATTAAATATTGCTGAAGAACAGATAGATATAAATAAAGAAATAGAAGAAATCTTGCATGATATGATCACTGAGTACAAGAAGAATCTAGAAGAATCTCGATCGAAAACAAAGAAAGCAGAAAAAGCAGTCCAGATTTTAAGTCATCTTCTTCATGACCGTGATTCAACAATTGCTAAATATCGTGACCTTACCAGTAATCTTCAACACAGTAACCATAACATGGCCCATGAAATCAATAAACTTTTAGAGGAAAGAAAGGCAAATGCTATAGAAGCTGAAACCCTAAAAATGAAAACTGATAGAGAGAAGAAGGAACGCTTGAGAGATCTCATACAAAAAGCAAGGATACGGGTCGAGTTAGAAGTAGCTAATCAGAGAATTACTTATTTGTCTAATTTCCTTCCAAATAGTCGTTTTGAAGAAAAAAGGAACTCTTATGTTCTTGAAGTGATTCTACTTCTCTCAAAAGTGATGAAAAAAATTAACATTCTTTATGATCATCTTAATTCTAAATATTTTATATTCGGAAGTTGTTTAAAAAAGTCTGACACACAAACCGTAATATTTGTAACAAAATTCTTGCTTAAACTTTCCGAATTACGAAATTTGCTTCGGCTGTATTCTACCCACTTAGATCATGCCCATCCAGAACTTTCCTTACCACCAAGCAAACATTACCAAGCTCTGATTGAAATAGACAAGGAAATAGACGGATACCTGGAATCATTATCTAAAAATGAAATCGATCGGAAAGAAAATTTGCTTTCTTTGCAAAAAGAATTCGATTCACTTTGGAAAGTTTTAGACACAAGAGTGTCTTGCATCCCTAACGAGGACATCCACAAGAGATTGTACTATTCAGAAATTATACCCATTATTAGTAAATGCATTTGTGCCCATTGTACAACTATTGAAACATCGCCAAGTGAAACAGATTTATTTGAGAAAGATAATTTTATCTGCATCAGAAATCATGCTCTGAAACTGATCAGATATGCTAATTGCTTACAAAATTACATTCAGCTTTGTGCAGAGAAAAAGCAAACTACTTTGCATTTGGATAGTAGTAGCCGGTTAAGACTTAATATAGAAAAAATGACAGAAATAATGGAATATTTGATAGAATTTCATAACAACATTAAGCATAAAGAAATAGAAAACACCGAAGAAGCTCGAAATGAAATAGAATTTAAACTGAGATTATTGAATGATGAAATGAAAACGACGGTTTCTAATTTAGAATTTCTTTGCAACTCCGTGAAAGATGGCGATGATTTAATCGAACTTACCCTCGAACCCAATTACTTGCCATCCTTAGTTTCGTTAGCTCAAAATATAAAGCGGAAGAATGGAAATGTGATGAGGAAGCTTCAACTAGAGCTTGTGGCTTCTGAGAGGACGTGCATGGAACTGTCAAAAGCCTTAGAAGACGCTAAAAAAAACCAGAATGTCGGCGCTGTACAAAAGGAAATTGATCATAAAGCCATGCAAACGATTCCCGAAACTGAAGCGAAAAGCCCTGCAAATGCATTACCAGCGGAACACCTTCTCAAACTGAAGTTGGCAGACATGTTAAGCACCATAAGATATCTTAGCTACAGAAATTTCCAGATGCAAATGGAAAGAATTAAGAATCAGATTTCTGTTCTTCCTCCTCTTAAGCTGCCACCCAAAAGAAGTTACCACCCAGGAATTCATTCTTTGCTGGTTTTGCAAAATAAACTGAAAAGCATATCGAGAAAAGTGACGAAATTTCTCCTTCCTGTAGTGATAGATATCAGCAAAAGAAGAAAATCAAAAGAAAAATCTGTAAAATGTTATTTCATTCAACGGGCCATGGACCGGAAGGAAATAGATGATAGTTTATCAAGCTTGAGAACGGAAATAATCGATTTCCGAAATTCTTGTAAATATTCAATAAATCGTAAAGTTAAATTTAGCGAAACCTGATAAGAAATTTTGTTGAAAACTTGACTTAATAATTATAATTCCATAACAATTTAAATGAGACTACATTACAAGTGCGTAATTTCAATATGGAAGTTCATTTTCTTGTAGATTTCTATGAATTGATTCGATTATCGTTTATAGCATATTGCATCTAAACACAACAAATATTATCAATCTTAAGAAGAAGTATAAAAGCTATTGCAAGAAGAATTGTTACGAGATGCTTGAAAAGTGCTTTTGAAATTTTGCAGAAGTTATAAATAGCTAAAAGGATAAACAATTTCCTAAACATTTGTGAAGATTTATGTACATGTACTAATTAGAATATATTATCGTTCATTCCTCATAATGTACGTTATTCATTAACCTATTCTTTAATAAATAATTTCAAGACATAGAGGATAATCACATTCAATTCAAAATATTTGAATCTAGTACAGGGTATTAAAACATGTGTTTCATTTAAAAATTGTTAAAATTCTTTTAATATGTCAATCTCACTACTCTTCAGTACTGCTTACTACCTGAGAAAATAAAGTTACGTTTTTATAGAGAAATACTTGTTAGAAGACACAGTGATAATCTCGGCTAATGCATTTTGTTAATAATGGTGAATTTAGTATTAAATCTATTTGTATATTATTAAAATTATACCTGTATCTATTTAATCTATTAATTAAATCTATTTGTATGTTATGAAATTAAAATTATTATACATTATTATATATCAGAAAAATATTTTATATGTGACTATTTAAGCTTTAAGAAAAGTTTGGGTACTTTTTGATTACCCGTACTTCCACTAAAAATCGCCAAATCAGTTGGCGAATTTGTGAATTGACGAAAAAAACTTTGGCTACTTTTACGACTCATAAGTAGTGTTAAATAATAATAAAAATAGCATTTTATATAAAACAAATTTTTTCAAAGACTAAAAATATTTGCAGCATATTTATATTTTTATTTGTTCAATACTAAACTTGTTCAGAGAAATGATGTTTAAATACAAAGCTTGTAAATCCATATATACTCAAACAGGTACTTTTCTATTAGCTAAGTACCATAATATTTGAGCCTGGTGGACTTTTATTTTTATTGAATTTAATTCACACTAATAAATTGAAACATATAGAAAAAAAAGATAAATAAAAAAATCAGTTTACACAGCAGGCATGAAAACGTAAACTTCGTTTAAAACTGCTGAAAACTAATTTGTCTTAAGGGGTTATCACATCTAGCGACAGCCCCTGCTAGACAGATCTTTTCTGAGAAACTAGATTCTGGTATCATTGGTTTAAACGGGAGGGTTCCTAGAATAAACAGCTTCCCTGGAAGCGAAGTCCCGCCTAGCTGCGGAAACGATGAACCAGCTACGCGGGATTTTTTGAAACCTTGCCGGAATTGTTTTGGCTGCAGCTCTGTACCGGGTAGAGATGAACCAATCAGACGAAAGTTCTGTTTCTGAAGGATCACGTGATCCCAATCTGAGCGATAATTGGTTACTGTTTGGTGTTCAAGTCTGTTTAGTAAGTAAAAGTGGTAACCTAACTACGTAGGTCTTGTGGTAATGTGAGGGTTTTGAAAATTGTCCCTTTCGACATCCGGTACCTTGTAGCGGAAACATATGTGATTGGGACTTTAGAATACAAGAGTCACCACATAAATTGAATTAAGTAAAACGCCAAATGGTTTCATGGAATTCCATTTATTACGCCATTTTGCAGTACTCCACAGTATTTCTGTTGTCTGGGTGGGGCATCCGGTTTTTGGGTCCACAAAATTATACGAGATACTAACAGTAAAATGTTCAAATCCGGAATATTTCAGTTCTTGAGTTTTGTATCCTTTCCAACAGTCGAAAAATATGCTGCTATATGTTCCTCTGTCGCGGCCATTAAAGAGGTTGCTACTTGATCGGGGATTGCGACAATGAAACATTCTTAAGTTCCAGCTGCATAACCTGACGAAAACCCACTGAGGTGGAAGAATCTCCCTACGTTGTTTTTTCTTCAGATAAAAAGACTCGTCTACTTCAACTACTATGCTGGCTCATCGGATTTTTTATTTTTTTCGTAAAAACAAAGCATTGGCACAAACTGCCTTCACTTCGTGTTATGCTTTATTTGAAGCTGAAGTTAACCAAATTCAACAGATATTAACTCTTGATACCCTAGGTATATAAATCGTAAAGGGGTATGTGATCTATCGAACCAGATTTGTGTCCGCATTTTTCTCTTTTCTCGGCATAATCGTAGATCGCATAACGGTCGTGGCGATGAATCCCTCATGATCGGATAGCTTCCTACAATGATCACTTGAACATCGTCTTCCTTTATGAAGAATTCCATTCCTTTTTAAAAACTGGATGCTTGCCTCTTCTTCTTTAGTGTATTGCCGAATTGCGTATTGAATCTTAGCGTTTCAAAAACGGTTAGGTTTTTTAAAAAGACACTTAATTTTTGATAGATAGATTTTTATAGTGTTGCTATAAACGCTAGAGGTTGTTATTAGGAGGTTCAAGATAATTAACTCAGCTGTAATTGTACATAAAAAAAGTTTTCCTTATGTGATACTTTATTTAAAGTTTAGTTATAGAGTCAAATATTATGGTACACAGCTAAAGGTCTTTTATGGTACACAGCTAAAGGGTTAAAGGTCCAAATATTATGGTACACACCTTCAAACATATGTGTGCTATGCGCAAGCGTAGATGAGCTATTTTCACATACACCAAAAATATACCAAAAGCTTGAATAATCTACCAAATGTTGAAAGTGCAGGTACAGCTAATAATCAGAAAGTATCAACAGACACAGTGAATTAAGAAATTTAACAGAAAATCATGCCATTAATCATCGAAAATAAATGATCGGCATGCCATTAATAATCATGCCATTAATGATCGGCAAATGATCGAAAATAAAAATCAGTGGATTCAAAGTATCTATTATCATCTAATAGTTAAATGATTTTAAGATTGGTCTGTTGCGAGTAATATTTATGATCATCAGGTACAATAAAAGTATCCACATGTGTTCACATCCTTTGTCAGAAAAGTTTCAAGACAAAGATTGTAAAAAATAGGAAATTGCATTTACCAACTAATGATCCTAGCTGCTACCAGAGTGTTCCTCTTGGCTATCTATACACAACTGCCAACATTTCTGGAGGTCTTGGAAGCAAGTGGGGAAATCTTCAAGTGCGATGCTTGCTAGCTCATTTGTCACAGCCCTTTGGATGGCTACAATAATCTTGATGAAGCTTTCTTTTCAGTCATTTTTTCACTCACGGAAACACAAAAAATCCCAATAATCTTTGACACAAATGCGGTATCACATCTGGCTCTACCTAATAGTTTAGCAGAAATTCTTCGTCTTTCCTCTTTCTGTTCATCTGTTAGTGAATGAGGGACAATTCTTGCATCAAGTTTCCGTTTCCCTAAATTTTGCGTAAAATCTTATGACACACATCACGGTTCAAATTCAGTTCTGAAAGCATACGCACAGTTACACGATGGTCTTCTTGCAATAACTGCCTTACACTCTTCACGTTTGCATGGCTATGTGCTATAGTAGATGGGCGACCAGCTCTGGGATCGTCTTGCACTGAATCTCTGCCTTCAAGAATCCTTTTTTGCCACTCGGACACGACTTTTTGAAAGCGCCTCGCCTGCATATGCTTGCTTAAACATGTTCCACGTTTCACTAGGGCAGTGGTGACGAACCGTTTTGGTGCTGCGTACCCAAAACACAACCCAAACGCACTTATTCATAGTAAAGTGTCAACCTCCAATTAAACCTGAAAATGGGGTGTTAGCTTAGCTAACCCCCATTTCCACACTTGTCTTTAGGTCGATTGAAACAAGAATAGTGTCTTCAACGATAGAAAAACTTTTTATCACCGAAAATAGATTAGTTTTGCGTAATTAATGGGATTTTTGCTGTTGTGTACATACTGATAATTCGTCAAACCTTGGCTCAGACTTCGTTAATTTAAGCGCAACTCATGCAGCACTCAGGTTATCTGTCAGTCTGTTTCTTGTGTCACATTTGATATAATTCAAAGCTGAAAAGAACTGTTCACACGCATTAAATACACGCTTCTTCAAATTGCACCTTTTCCAATATTTTAGAAATTAAAAAAACTTCTGTTTCTTTGATTTTGATTTGTGAAATTTTTGTCTAGCACTATTAATCTAATAGATATGCATGCATAAATACAAAAAGCAAAGGAAATATAATGGCAGAAAAATTTTGAAGGAATCTGGGCTCAATCTGAAACGAAAAATTCGAGATTATATCATCAAAAGTTATGAAGGAAATAAAATTAAAAGTGCACATTTTCATCGATTTTTAATTTTTTTTGATACAACAATATACAAAGCTGAATTTGTATCGACTGTCTCAACTAATTTCGATTATGATCGAATAAACGTGACCTCAGGACATGGATTATTTTTTCGAATTGTTTTATTAATTTCTGATCAATTATGATAAATGTTTTGCCACATTTTAATCGATTAAAATTTACTATAGGTGAAAAAGCGGATATTAATGATGTCAGGATTTTAATAAAAATAACTCATAACAGAAGAAAAGACCCTCACCCGATTTTGTCACTTCAAAGATCAATAATTAGAGAATGTTTACAGCGGTATCATTCTCTCTGTTGTTAGATACATTTCTCTGAATCTAACTTAACTGGAATCGGGTACTTCTGCTAATATGTGATATTATTAAAATGATATAAAACTCTTACAGACTTTATTGTATCTAAATTGTATCTAAATATGGCCTAATTAATAGCAGTCTTAATTTATGGAATACTATCAAAAACTATTTCTGTTACACCAAAAAATTACAAAAAACTTTTTTTTTTTTTTTTTTTTTTTTTTTTTTTAAATTTCAAACATTTTCTAGCAACTTCAGCTTTACATTTTTACGCTGTACAATGTTATACCTTTCCCATTTCCTACATTATATCGAAAATATATTGGATCTTATTCTGCTAGATATATAATTTTCAGGTTTACAGAGGTGAATTTTTCATCGTGAGCAGCAACGGTGTTGCGCTGGACATAGTTGAAATAAATAATAAAGTACATACCTGAAATACACAATAAGTAGGAAGCATAAATTTTGTATTTAAAAATTCTATATCACGTATTTTAATAATAATCGATAACACTATGAAGACAATTCACTTGCATTATTCACGTCATTCAGATGCATTTCAACTGAATAAAACTCTATAGCATGTCAAATTAATCAGCTTCGAGCTATGTACAGAGATTTCAAGATAGTTTAATTAGCATCATGGCAGAGTTTTAGCAAATATAAGTAGAAGGTCATAATAATAATAAGAAGAATAATTAAAAAAACTGAAAAGTTTCACATTTTAATGGTCGCCCAAAAGGGCTTTTTAAAGTTTTCTACGCTCTCGCTGAGCTCGCAGTCTAGCAGGCTGCTGTTACACTCACACTTATTAAGCCTTTTTTTTTTTTTTTTTGTCTTCTTAGCTTTATTATTAAACATCATCTTCTTCGCACTTACGTCATATGCAATTCAAAAGCAAAATTACAAAAATTTTAAAAGCAGCATAACAGTATGCGC